GTTTAAGATTTTGGAGTTTGCTTTGCAGTCGTGGAAGGTTTTCTCTGTGTTAGCAAGTCATGCAGTGGAAAAGGGACAGATGAACCGAGTGAAACAGCAGATACCGAGACCCAGGTTGTTCGCAGTTCTGGGATTTTTCGTTTCAGTAGCTCTAGTCTGAACCCATGGCCTGAGCACCCATTAGTGCTTGGTATATGATGTCATGCCAGTTCAACTTACATTCCTTTCTCACATGATGCAATTGCTTGAGCATTTTTAATTACAAATAGCAGTGAATCAGAAGGAAGACAAGGTTTCTTGCAAATGAGGCATCCATAAATCAAGGTAAACAAAGCTGCCTTTGGTATGTGGAAGACATTTTTTTCCTATGACAGTGTTGCAGTGAGTGTCTGAAAATTAATGATGCAGATGTAATAGATGAATATTAAGTGACAAGAGCGTACCATAAAATTATAAATAAAAACGCATAATATAGTTTATAGCACTGATTTTTCTGGGCTTCCAGCAGTGGGCAGTTACAGAGTAATGATGTTACATTTAAGACCCTGTTAAAATACGTGTGATTCAACATACAGACCAAGCAAAACTTAAATTGTTGGATTGTTTGAAACTGCAGTGGTTATACCTTTGGTAGTATGTCCTTTGACGTAGTTTTTACTGTATTGTAGGTAGTGATTAATGCATGTTAGTTTCACATTTTCTCACACTTTCAGTATTTGTATTAGTTTAAATTCTTAATTGGACTATTCTTCCCACTCTCTGCGTGAAAGCACTAAAGCGCCCGTACCGTGCTGTCCCTTAATGAGGCTTTCCCGCTTTTCTTCCATATCTGGCCACATACGACATTGGGATGACTTAACATGTAGGGCCGTTTGCGGCTGGAGAAGCTGCGGGGTGGTCTGTAAGCAGAGGTGCTGATGGGCAGCTGAAAGGGCCTTGTTGGACCGGACCTCCCTGGGGAGCAAACCTGGCCCCGGGACTTGATTGCCACGGCCGTGGTCTCCTGGGACTGCGGTGGCCTGAAGCGCTGAGCTGGGTAACCGCTGCTGAGAGACGAAGGAACACCACCAGCTCTTGGCACCGCAGCAGGGCATAGATTAGTCCCCAAGGGAAAGATAGCTCTATCTCTTCCAGAAATCCTCTGCGCACTCCGAGAAGGAGCAAGTTTTAGGTTTGGGTGGGTGTTAAACGTCTGAGTATAAAGACGTGTCTGAATAGTTTGTTGTCACAGAAATGTTCCTTCTCCTTTGGAAAAATGCTCCGTACGAAAGCTTGCTTTTGTCTCTCCAAACAAGATTTTGTCTCCTCCAGTTCCAAAGCTTTGTTAACTTAACCTTTTCCATTTCCAAACATCCTCTTATGTTTTGATATGGCAATCAGTTAATCTCTTAAGCATTTTCATACCTTTGTAAGTACTGTACTGTTAATTTTTTTAAAAATGTAAATACTTATTAACTAGAAGATGGCAGATTTAATACTAGACATGACTAGGTGACTCCAAAACCTAATAATTCTGTTCTTTTACTGTCACAATGCTTGTTATTAATTAATTTAATGCTTGAAATTATTTCTTTAAAAAAAAAAAAAAGGTGAGTAACTGCTGATTACCTGAAATCCCCACGAAGACTTTACCCATCACTTCAAATCAGATTTAGATGACTTTGGGGCTGTTACGCCTCCCCACACCTCCTCTCTCTCTTCCCTCCGATGTGCACGCACTCTGGTTCTGGCTATTTTTAATTTTTCCTAATGTATTTGCCTGAACTAGTTAAGACTCTAATTCTGTGACAGTAAACCAATAAAGCAAATAGTTGAACGTTAGTGTTGATTAATGGTCTTTAGTTTAGAAAGGAAATAAATTGTGACAGATGTCGTGCATTACCACCTTCTATCAGTTAGACAAATACGTGTGCATCTTTGCTTACGTATTTGCTAATGATATTTTCTCGTTGCCTGTTATTAATGTTAGTGGATGTTACTACTGAAGAAAGAGTCTTCCTCGGTCAGTGGTTTCAGGGCTGAGTTTCTGTTTATTCTGACCATTTCACGGTGTAATTTTACAAGACAATTGGGAATGAATATCATTCGGAAGCCTTGATTAAAATTGGCAGATTGGTGAAATATAAGGATGTCAGCAAACCTCTTAACTGATACAGAAGCTACACGTTTGTATTCTAGAGAAAAATATGGAATAAGTCATTAAGAAAGTTAAAATCCATGTTTCTAAAGCATGTTAATTAAGAGGAATGTTAAAAATTGGTATTTGTAAAATGTGGTGGTTGTGGCTGGGGAAAACCCATATGACTCCGCCTCTCTCTGAAGGAGCTGTGTTGTGGTTTAATTGATAAAACATCCCATGATGCGCACCAGGAAATAATTAAACTTGACCTATTGGCTTGCACAGATGAGTAGTTTATTTTTTAGGATTAGAAGGGTGAGTTTTGTCTTTGGAACCTAATCCTTTTCTGAGTGTTTGGGTGTTGTAAAGTGCTTGATGGACCAGAAATGATAGTGCCAAGAGCTTGACCTTTCTTATGAGCGGTGTTCTTTTCCGAGCGTTATCGTTTGCTGCCATTCCTTAATTAGCAAACGTTGCAACATAAGCAGAAGGGAGCTTAACAGTAGTTTAATTTCAGGGATGTGTTTATGTAAAACAAAACAAAAAGAAAACAACCCTCCCTCAACCTCCAGTGGTTTGATAAGTTGTTGTTATACAACAAATATACTGGTCCTGAGCAACCATCAGCAGAAAATGGTAGCTTTTTCCTGACTACTGGGGATATAGCAGCAGTAGTAATCTATTTTGTGATAAAATCGATAATGAGTATTTCTGTTTTAAACTGCAAAACCTGAAACTTTCAGTTGCACGTAATTCCTTTAGAATATTGTTTTTTGGGGAAAAAAAATCTATTCTTCTTAGTTTTCTGTTGTATGGAATAGAATTAGAACTGTTTAACTTTTTTTGTTTGCTTGCCTTGTTTTTTTTTTTTACTTGCAGATGATACCTTAGCCAAAGTTGGCTTCGCTTTGGTTTTTGGTTTGTAGAGAAATCATAACAGGGAATTTCAGTTTGCCTTGAAGTTAGAGCTTACATTGAGTTTGTGGAAAAAATGACATTTCTGTATTTTCTGAACTAAACTAACTTTGTTGTAACAGTGGGAGTAGTTTGGTTAATCTTTTTGATGTATCGCAAATACATGAGACTGTCATGCCTGGATCACATGCTGTGTGGAAAGAGCATGAAAGAAAGCATGAAAATTTTATCTATGAGTGAGTTACTGTAGATGTGTGAAAATGCCAGTTTTCCGTGTGAAACTTGTGCTTTTCTGGCCTTCTATGGCATGGGGTGAGAAAACCTCGGTTGTTGTTTATGACTGCATGGCAATCATGTAATTTAAAGATTTTTTTTTTTCAGTAGACCATTAGCAAAATCAAAACTTGACAGTTTAAACTGCCGTGCTGCTGTTACTTGTAATACTTTATCCTAACGGGATTACACTGATAATTTCTTTGTTGGAATAATCTGAAGCTTCACTTGAATGACTTCACTGTTAGTCGCTTAAGTTCCTTTCCTGAAAATGCACCTATCCTACAAAAGTTGTTGTCTGCTCCCCTAACACATAGTTTATAAGCACCAGTCTTTTAAATCTTTTCTACACAGTGGTGATGTGTCAGTGGAGTTTGCTGTTGAGATGACCTTGTATGTAACTCAAATGTTTTGTGTGGCTGAAGTTTCAGATGTGCTTTCCAAACGTAACCTTAGTGAAAGGAGATGGAGCTGACCCACTTCTTCAGGATTTGCCTCCACACTTGTCTTAACCTCCTAATTCACATGTTAATCTCTGCTTTGAGTTAACTGGTTCTGCAATTATTTCACCTGCTGATATGTGTTAAAACGTGATTGCTTTTGTCAGTCTGAGTTTGTAACATGGCAGCTACAACTACTAAACTGCTAATCCAGCCACGATGCTGTTAATCGAAGGTTTTTTTAATTTGACATCTGTATGGGATCGCTTTCACTTGAGCTCAGTGGAGTGGAGTGGGTCAAGCATACCTAACTCAAGCTACCAGGTCTGTAGTGAAGACAAACTTACTTAATGTGCGAAGCAGGATATTTTCAATTCCAGGTACTACTACAGTCACAGATTAAGTGAGGAAGAGGTTATTGGTCTGTGATGCACCCCACGCCCCCCCAGCAATACCTACCTCAGCTCTTTTCTTGCTGGTAGTTGCAGCACCCTCAGATCTGCTGGTGTGGTACCTTCTCCTGAGCTGAGTCCCCTAAAGTCACCTCTGGTGTAGGTGTCCTTGTGGAGTCTATCAGCTGAAGCACATCAGGTTGCTTTTAACCTCTTTCCTTTGTTGCTGTGTTACACTGCCCATCACATTTTGTTGCATTTGTGTATTTTCATACTTCTTAAACAGAACGCATGCGATGATATGCTTGTTGTGATGGTACAAGCAGCAACGTAAAGGCAGAGGTCACAAGTTAAGGCTCAGTTTTAGAGCAGAGGTTCTCTGTCCTCCCATTTGCTGGGAGGATGAAGGGGCCACGTGGAGCTGAGGGAACTCTTGTTAAAAATGCTGTGTGCAAAGAAGTTCTTCGGAGTTTTTGGGATTTATGTGTATTTGTTTTTACAAAGCCTGTTTAATGCTTAATTAACATTTACTAATGTTTTCTTGTCAACACTGAAATGCATTGTGAGGGGGTTTGAGTATCTGCAAGTGATAATGATTTTACAAAAGAACATTCATTATATTCAGACTTTACATAGCAGGCTATGATGAGAGGTGCTGAGTAAATTAAAAAAATTATGATAATGGTACTGTCTTGTTGGAATTTTTCACACAATAGTTTTTGTTACAATTTTTCTTTGTCCTTTTTTGTTTTTAAGGATATTGTAACATGCACCATTGCCAGTTATTTTTATTACTGAAAAGGTAAAATAGGCTGTTCATCTCAGTCTTTTTCGTTTGTGTTTTTTTCCATCCCACTCTAGTTTTGGCAAGCAGTCTGGAGGAAAACGAGGATGCGAATGTATCATATTGGAGCCTTCAGAAATGATTGTGGTAAGACAGATTTTTCAAATGTATTTAAATCTATTGCTGGTTTCAGCAAATTCTTTCTGTTTTATAGCAGAAAGCTTATTGTAAAGTATTCTATAAAATTGCAGCAAAATTGCCTTGATTTCAATTATACCTATGGCTGCTATCGTAACAGCAATAGCTATGTAAATTTAATCTAGATGGGTAAATGATGATGATGATTAGGTCATTCTTTCTAAAATTATGCTTACTTGAGTTTCAAAAGCCTACCAGTTATGGCTGAGTTGAGCATTCCTGAGTCAGGCAATGATAGCCTGCTATATTTTATTTACATCCCCACCCCCCTTTTCATTGCTTTTTACCGGCCCTGCTGGGTCGGGCAGGAAAGGCCCTCGTACTCCTTTGCAGCTCCACACGGTGTGAAGGCTTTTAGGTAAGAGGAGAAGGAACATAAGGGTGCTTAGCCAAGCTTGAAGGGTAAGGTTTTCAGCTTAGTTGTCATCGACCTTTTCCATGTCCAGCTTTCCGTCTGCTTCTTCAGAATATTTACTACTATTGCCCAGTTCACATGTACTAATAGATTGTAACTCAGTCCTCCCCAGGTTGGTGCACACATACTGTCAGCAGCTGGAAGGTTAGCATTACTTTCTGTAGTGCAGACCGATGTTGGACCCCAGTAGTATGACTGGGGGCTCAGGAAGATCTCTTTAACTTCTGCTTCTAATGGAGCTGGAACAAAAACATGTGTTGCTCCGAAACCATGTCTGTTAAGCAGACTCAGATCTCCAGACTGTGATTGATTTACCTTCCTTACAGCTAGATTTGGTAGCGTTCAAACCAGTATTCGATGATGTCTCCTACTCACTGAATACGTAAATATTCAGCTTCTATGAGGAATTCGGTCCTCACAGTAGACTAACAGCCGTGGACGTCAGAGATGTGCTGTACCGAGTGTGCTTGCTGTCCTTCGTGCTGTTCTTTCTATGCAGCGTCAGTCTGATTCTGCTCGTGGGCTTTGATAGCATCAGTAATACGCTCTTTGCTGCAGCAGATGTTCTAAGCTACAGCTTCATGTCATGAATTAAGCACAGGTAAGAGTGCAAGAAGCCTGTCTCAATTCTCTGGAGTGAATTAGTTCATTTGTGTAGTCGCAATTATCCAATCTCTTCTCAAAGCTGGAGTTTTGGGGGAGAGGTTTGTGCCTTGAGGCATGCCACAGGACTGCTTGGGTGACAATATGTGCAGCCATGTCACGTGGACCCCCAGGCACTCTGGTTTGCTGCTGCTGCTTCGAATTTTTGCTTGTTTGCTGCTGCTGAGACTTTGTTGTGCTGAGTACGCCTGTGTCCACTGCCTGGCGTAAGCTGAGCCTTGCACCTCAACACTCCTGGCATCTCGTAGCACAGAACCACAAACACTCACTTACCTGATCGTATATAGACCTTTTGTATCTCTGTAATCTTTCAAGTTGATGTAACAGAAGAATTTGGTCTGTTTGGACCAATTTCACTAACAAACCAGTTACTCAACTCTTAGCTTCTCTAACTGGTGCTGCAGACGTCACCAGACCTGATGTGCTGCTTCCTACCAAAACCTAGTAGATGATGACGCAGCCGCCGTTGGCAGCAGGAGCAGTCTGGAGTGCATGCAACTTTCCTTCCAGGGCTGGCTGGTGACTCGCTCACTGCAAGTGTGTCTGCAAGTTTACATGAAATACATTCCATGGGCAAAATAGGTGATAATATGAAGTTCTTAGGAAATACATACATCCTTCCTTGGCCTTATCACCATTGTTGTCTTTAAAAAAAAACCAAAAAACCAAACAGAACCAAAAAAACCCCAAAACAAGAAGATAGATGCAAATAAAAGAGTAGCTTCTCTGCAGCGTGTGCTACCGGAGAGAAACTGCCCTTATTAAAGTATTTTGTGAAGCAACTAGAGAGTTTAGTGTATGTATAACTCGAGTAGCCAAAACTGTGATGAGTTGTTTCAGAGGAATCCGCTGTCCCAGTCTTTGGAGAAGCTGGCATTGGCCATGTCGACAATGTCAAATACTGCTGGGGGTGTTACTGGGGACAACTGCACAGCCTGGGACAGCTGTCTTCTGTATTTCAAACCTCTTCAGTTTTCTATAATTGTAGTTAAATGCCAAGGAGAGTATAGAGACACTTGAAAGTATCTTAAATCTTTCCTTTTCTGGAACTTCAATGTATTTTTCTGTAGGAAAATCAGAGAATTAGAAGTGCAAAATTGTTTCTTCATTATTTTAAGTTCCTGTTTTGCAGGTAAATATAGCTAAAGGTACTATTAACTGTCAGCTTTCTAGGTAGGGCTTAATGGGGTGAGAAAAAAGCATCAGTGTTGTGGCAAGCACCTTGCTAATGATCTGCACGGACACAAGGTGTACTTGAGTTTCATTTCCCTGATTAATTGATTAATTTATCTTAATTCTTTTCTCTCTCTTTTTTAATTTGAAACATACTAATGAAGTTTAATACATAATGAATATTTATCTTAAAGCAAAAGAATTAGTTACTTTAATGTAGTTAAAACCACCATCGTTCTCTGCTGCTGACTGATTATTTTTTTTTTTCCCTTCCTCTTTCTTTTTAGAATGTAAATCAGTTTTGTAGCAGGAACCCTCTGGGAACTGACCCATTTTAAAGGCCATAAAATGTGGTCAACTTAAGTTAATGAGGATAACAGATAGTGTGTGAATGGGCATTGTAGCTCATATTTTTGGAGGCTGAACAATCTATTGAATTAATAATAGGTCCATTTATCACTTAAGAAAATGGCCCAGAATTGTAGCGTATCTCAGTGTACTGAAGTGTCTTTTCTGTTGTTCCTTGGTGCTTTTATTTTCTTTCTCAGATCTAAGCGTAAGATTTCAGACGAGCAGCATGATTATTTGGAGGTGAAAATAATTCATTGCTGGCATGGACTGCAGAGTGAAATTGGGACAGTCCTACGATCCTCCTCGATTTTTCCATGGCAGCGAGTGCTGTGGGTGCAGCTGGCTGTATGGAAGCATTCTGTTGCTGCCAGCATTCAAGGTTAATAAAACACCACCCTTGATTAGAAACTAGCCAGTTAATATGCTATTCTGAACTTCTTGTTACATAATGAGAACAAAATAATATGAAAATATACGGGGCAGCAGTCTCCGTCTGACCTGGCAGCCTGGTCCTCCCACACCGGGGCCCGGCTCGCAGCATCCGCAGAGATGTGGAATTCCTCTGTAGCAGTTTTTATCCCACTTGGGGGGTTGTGAGGAGGCTGAATACGCTCTCTGCCAGCAGAAATTTGTAGTTTTAACCAGGTGAAAGCCTGGCTTAAGTGCTGAGTGGTGCGAGGGAGCCCTGGCACGCCCGTCCCGCTGATGTGCAGCGTATCACAACCCACTTGTATACGTTACTGTAAATCATAAGCATAAACAATCTGATGGTCAGCTGGACTCAAAATATGGATTGTAATGGTGGCACTAAACTGGAAGCTATGTGGTGTGGAGGTCTGTCTGCGTTTTCTGATTTTTGTTTTGTTTTTGTCAGCAGCAGTGGCATTAACCGAAGGAAGCAGGTGGTCTCAGTTTCTGAGTTTCCCCCAGCAGTTGGCTGTTTTGCTTTTGTCTTAACAAATAATACATTTATACTCACTTCTTAGTTTTCAGTTAGAATTGTGGAAGAAAAATAACTTCATCTTTCACCGAGTGTTTGTTTTACTTTGGTCTTAAGAATGTCTATTCATTTTGGGACTTTGAACTACAAGGGTCCTCAGTGTTGGAAGAGCCATTGGCCGCTTGAGCGAGCCTTTGGTGTCCAGGTTAATCTGTTATATTGGAGAAGCTCAGCGCTTGGTTTGGTTTCTATGATCCTGTAAGACTGAACGCAGAGAAAGAAGGAAATAATACTTTTATTGAAGGAGTTTGCGTATGGTAGCACACATACAAAAATTAGAAAAGAAATCCACACGATTTTGGTTATTTAATTGAGTAACTGTACAAAACCAAACTTTTTTACTTGTGGAAGCCTTCTCTATAATTTGGGAGCAACATTATTGCTAACTAGAAACCCATGTTTGAATCTTACTAAATGGTCTGTTTAAAAAGGGGGGTTTTGTTTGTTTTTTGTCTGCCTGCATGCCTTGTATTTTTTTTAACCTCTTTATACCATCGTGCTTCCAGCAATACTGCTACTAGATATCTTTGCTCATTGTTTTATGCCTTTGCAAATGGGTAGTAAAATTCTAGTGAAAAGTGGGGTTGTTGTATGCTAGGAATTAAAAATAACCCACAAGGCAAGCCCAGCTGCTTGCACCTTCACATAGACCTCAGACAGACTTAGCTGTTAGGAAAAAGTGATGTGGAAAGTAGATGTGATCTTGCTTTTGTGATGATTTAGATATTTTGGTTACTTTCTTGTTCCGGTCTGTTAAGTCTTTCTGGTTTTCATTCCTTTATACCTTTTGAATTTTAATTTTGAGCTAATTTACCCAAGTATGTGAAGTGAGGGCTGCATAAGACCCCATAAAGGTTCTTCTCCTGTTCTAGTACTAAAATCTTATGTTTAGGATTTTAAAGTGAGATTTGGAGGGAGAAAAAAAAAAAATCATTGAGGACAGTAGAAACTCCTCTACAGTAAATGTATTGTAGAGGAGCTTCTTGGCCGGCTGCAGCCTATTTGCATGCATGTCTACTCTGCTTCCTGCTAGGAGAGGTTTTTCCAAAACATCAGAAGGAAATGGGAAAGGATGAGACTGCTTTTTATAGAAAAAAGGAATTGTAACTAGTGAGATAAAAAGGTTTTATGTTGGCTTTTACTAACAAGATAAATTTACCTATTTTTTAATGTGTAGTCATAAATAATATTTAATACCAAGTTACGAATCAAGTTCCAGTTATTTCTTCTTAATCTACTGGAAGCGATTAGAAGTCAGTATGACATAGTTGAAGTAGTTATTTATAAAAAGCTGGAATATTTAAAGTTGTTTAGCTGTGACTGGTATTAGAAATCAGTTATGCTTTTAAAAATTGCACCAATAAAAATAGGATATAATTCAATGCCTTTACCAGATTGTAAATACTCAAAGAAATGGTAACTTCTGTGTTGAAGATACAGACACTGCTTGTTTCAAGTGTAACTCGTATGCTATGTGTGGGTGCAGAAGGGTTTCTGCTGGTGAGTGACATTGTGTAGAGGATATGTATGCCTGTCTTTTGGGGGGGGAGGAAATGAAAAAAAAACCCCACTCTAACCCAAAAAAACCCCTGTTTCCTGGAAGGAAACTGTGGCTTCCAGCACATTGTAGTAACGTAGTTCTGAGGCATGCAGCAGCGGTTCTCTGAAACGTCCGCAGTCATTTTCTCAAGAAAAGTTTAACTGCTCTGAACTTATGTTTGTTCCTTCCTCATGAGCTTAATACGGCTCCATCGGATTTCGGTGATATGGAAGAACTGGATGTTTAACCAGGAGCCTGAACATGTGTTTCAGGTGGAGAACTCCAAAGACAATGAGGAAAACATCTTGCAAAGAGAAGTCCCGCTCAGGCAGTCCCGTCGGAGGTTTCGGAAGATCAACCAGAGGGGCGAGCGTCAGACCATCACTGACAACGTGGATGCCAGCAGTTACCTGTCGGTGAGTCCGCTCTCCCTTGGCCGATGTCCTGGGCATCGCGCCATCTGCGTGGCTGACTGGCGTGGAGTTTTATCGAGAAACACTGCTGAGATGGAGGAGTTGTGTTTGTTGCTTGTCAGAACACTTTTTTTCTTGCGGGGGAGCAGGAGAGTGCTTTGGATTTGAACACCATGGGTGGAAGTAAAGATTCAGGCACTAGTTAGAAAAGAGATTTTTTGGTTTAGGGGTTTTCAGTGGAGCACTATAAATAAATCTTAACATGTTAGCTGGACAGAGAAATGGTCATTCTTGGGTTTTGTTGGTTTTACCTGGAGTTCTTTTGCTAAGATGTAGGAATTAGTTGTTTGCGTTTTTTCCTTAATAAATTTGAACTATGGTTTGGAATTGATTCAATCACGAATGCAGTTCAATATAGTATGAACACTATGGTTGTACTTGGTAATGTTTACTTGCTTAAAAATAGTGTAGTGGTAATTCAAGCATCAAAAAGAGTAACGGCAACTCATTTGCTAGTTTTAAATAACATCATAGACTATATAATCTGCGCTCTGTGAAGGCACATACAGCTGTGGTTTTAAGGCTACAATGCTTTTATGAAGGTTTCTCTTTACCATTAATTTTCACATACAAACTTCCTGCAGGATATACGTGTGATCTAGACAAATTATTTCATTGAAAATAATTGTTCTGGATACTTTGATTTGCTTTGAAAATCAAAGGTTAAAAACCAGTACTAATGTTGAAGTACACAAACCTGGAGTAGTCTTCATGCACGAAAAAAAACCCCAAATTCAATTTCTCCCCCTTCTTTCCATCTTCCTTTTCATCTCCCTGAAAGGTACAAAGCTTCTCTTAGTTGATACACTTCAAAATATCTGATGTGTGCAGTTAGATATAAACTTAAAAGATTTCCTCTGTTTCAGGATAAACTGCTATTTTTTTGCGTGTTGGTAGCTGTTGGATTGCAGGTGGTGATTTTAGACTCTCTACAGCACGAGTGTGTCTGTGAGCAGAGGTTACTTTTGGCATTTGTCTTGAAAGCGGAAAAACTCTCATTGCTGTGACAGGAAGAGAATATGCTGCTTGAAGTTTAACGTCCTCTGCCATCTCATTTCATGTGTTGGATTTTATCATTAGTAAGTCATCTGAATTAGTTATTGATGAGATGAGATGCTCTGGGCAGTCATGCATAAGGCTTTATTAGGAATTGTGTGTGACAAAATGCGTCTCTCTTTCTTCGGTGTTTCTGTGACGTTGAGTAAGCACATGGAAAATAATTCTCAGACTTCAGTGCCAAGAGGAAGAGAATCCCAGGAACAGCCGGTGCTGATGCTACCTGTGCAGCTTGCCTGGAGGGGCACGGGAGAAGGGACTGGGGCATTTTTGGTCTCAGAAAGACCAAGTTGTACAGCTTCTGGCACGATTTCAGAGGCTTTCAGTTATTGATGCGAGGGAATCGGTGTGGTACACTCGCAGGATTGTGATCAGCTGACAAATTATGTTAGGATTTTTCTTCATGTTGATTTATTCCTTTAGGTTACCAACCCCACAGAGTGCGTGTGTGTGTCTACACGTATAGTTTCATGTTGCAAATCTGGTGGCTTCCTCAGATTTAGGAATATATATATATTTTGATCAGCATTTGATGGGAAATGGTATAAACTTCATAAATCAACAGCATATTCCTAAATCTGCTTTTTGTGTCAGTTAATTAGGAATATCTAAAGAGAGTCCTGTTAACGCTGCTAGGTGTTTTCCTGGACGAGTGAGTGCTAAGTGGCAAGGAGTAAACAATCACCTCTGATAGAAAATCTGCAAGCTGTTGGGTTTTCAGCAGTCTGAATTGAAATACCAATTCTTGCTTTGTAGACAGTAAGCTCCTAATTGGGAAGTGTCATACTTGCTGTACTTGGTGTAGCGAAAAGTAATTTGTAACTCAACAGATGACTAAGAAATCAAACCACGATAACCAGCTGCCTGTTTGACAAGTAAATAAAAATTGGTTGCCTGTATTTTTCCATATTCCATTCTAATCTGATAAAATAATGACTCTTTTCTGAGGTATGCTTTGTTCTGTGCCTAGGTTTAACTCTTCCCTATATGAGTCCGCTCATACATGGCTGTTGGTTCCAAATGGTCTTGAAAAACAGGCTTTATAATGCAACCCTTCATGTCAGCCCCTGTGAGAATGGGCAGGATAAGGAGCAGGGGTTTGAATGAAACTTTTATTTGACGAGAACTTGCAATAACATTTTCTGCCAGAGTGGGGAAAACTGTTTACAAACTCGCCGACAGATTTCCTCTCTGGCATAATGCTGATGAATAAAGGCAGTGTTGTATGTCACTGTCCAGCCTGTTGCTAAATGCTGCTGAGAGATGCCCAGCGTGGCCTGACGGACCTTCTGTGTGCCCTCGTGCTCAGGGAGGGCTCCGTACTTCCAGCCCCTCTGCAAGGGCTTCGCTCCAGCTCCAGTGGTACGACGTTGGAGTGCTCGGTGTGACGCTTTTTAAGTTTTTAAATGCCTAATCTCGCAGACACAGGTAGTTTTCCACTTTCTAAAGAAACTTCAGTTCTGTAGGTATTGAAATTCAGTGGTTTATCCCAGCTCAGAATTTTTCCTTTCCCAATTAAATGGAAGTTTTCTTGTGTTTTGCTTTTAAGGGGAATTAATCTGTGCAATTGCCATTAACTCCTTAAAATGTAAATCTCTGTGCATTAAATATACTATGATTAGTATTTATGATTAACCTTAATCTTTGTTTTTGTAAAACATTACCCATTAGGTTGTGACGTGAGCTTGCATCTGCTTCTTGCATGGAGCTCCCTGCCTGCTATTGCTGGGACTTGCTCTGTAGCAATCCCTGTGACTGGCCACGAGATGAAGATTTGTGTACAGATACTTTCAGTAATATTTGAAATGACTGTTACCATCTTTTAAGCTCTTCCTTTCTCTTATGCCTTTTACTTAAGTAAAAGAGCCCCAGTACTTAATTTAACTGTGTATCTTCAGGATAGCTGACATTCAAATTATTGTGGATATCTTAATTTTTTTTTTCCTTGAATGAAATTATGTTAGAAGTGGGTCATCTGGTTGGTTGGTTTGTTGAAGTAGTTGCCTTTTAGACTCCTTTACTACATTTTTGTGGTTCACAGAGCAACGTTGTTTAACAAGAGCACTGGTTTCCTGCACAATACGTATTTAAAGTTGTGAGGTTGGTTTTGGTTTGTTGGTTTTGTTTTTTTTTTCCTTGCAGTAAGATAGAGTGAACATATGCTGGCAGTGTTTGTTCTTCTCACTCAAACTGAACAGGTTTATATTTCTGTTTATATCTTCAAAGTGCATAATGATGTGAATTTGTTCTTGCAATACATATGTAGAAAGCATGTTAGACTTGCTCTCGTTAGGCGAGACTGAGGTCTGGCTTCCACTTGCAGAGGTGCCAGAGGTTCTGCTGACATTGGGTTTTTCCCTTCTACAGCATAGCTAGCCAGCAAGATCCTGGGGATGAATGTGTGTTTGGCAAAATGCTTCTCAATTGTTTTTTTCAGGATGCAAAATAGCACTGTTGCCCTTGAAGTGATGGAGGAGGTGGCTCTGTTGTGGTGGGTCGCGTGCGAGGCAAAGGCCATGGTGGCAGCCCGGGCGTGTGTGGCCGGTGCTCTGCCATGGCCAGGTCTGAGCATCCCCAAATTATGTGGGAGCTCGTTATCCCCTTGGCATTTCTGGCCTCTCTTGCCTTTTTCATTTTTGTTATGTGAAAACTCTCAGCATCTTGCATGTCATCCCTGGAGCGAGGTCCTGGCTCTGGGGGGAAAAGTGAGGCTGGAGTCATTTGGAGAAAGCTCTTACTCAGACTTAATGGAGTAGAAAGAAATGTGCCATTGGTATTAATTATGCCTGCTCTTGCTTCAAATCTTAGTTGTTAGTATGATTGCATATCTCTGGAGATCTGCGCCTGGTGCATATTACTGTCTAACGTAGACAGGAATCCAGACAGGAACCAGGGTCATGCAGCTGGGCATTATCACAACCAAGATAAATCCTTAGTGATTTCTAGTTCTCAACCCAAGAAGTAATGTAACTGTATTTCTGAATTACAAGAGATAAAAGTAACTGATCGTCTTTGTTCAACTATGTCCAAACTCTTGTGACCGTACAGCAGGCGCTTAGAAAACTACAGCTGGACTAACAACAGGTGACTTTATGTTAATACTTTTAGGAAAAGGGTTTAGTGGTAATTCTGGTGCTTTATAAAAGTTAAAGTGCTGGTTTGATCTTGGATCAAGTAATTGAAAAGTAAATGGTTCAAATAATTATCTTCACAATTAAAAAATAAACCCTGAGATAGTAAGTTTTGCACTCATATTACTTGCAGTGATCAAAACCAAACATGGTTTAACAATTTGATACAAATTTCTGTATGACCCTCAAACCTGTAAACTCAAATCTTTTTTCATTTGAATAAGATGTTTCTAATTTATTACCTACTTACATTTTTGACAGTTCTCTTCTCTCTGATTTCTTAAAATGAAGAATATTTGTATTTCTAAAAATAGTGCATGTATGATGTAATGCATATTTCTGTGAAGTTGTGACAAATTTTGAATTTTTTCAATTGTTAGTTCATTGTAGAACAGAATAAAGAAATTGGAACCAAACTTTTAGTAGAAATCCCCTTTCTCAGAGATGCAAATTTACTTTTTTTTCTTTCCTTAAATGCTTGTAAGAAGATGATGAGGTTTAAAAGATTTATTATAATATTAAGTTTTACAGACAGTATCTTAATACTTGCATCATGTAAAATTTTTCCTGGAGCCTTGTAGAAGCATTTATCTTCAGAGAAGTCTGTCACTGAAGACTGCTTGAGTGGCAAGTTTCTTGTTCTTTGATCATTACTTAATGTAATCCTGTCAGAGGCTGGAGTTGGCGTAGGGTATCTCACAATTGTAGGAAGTTAAGTCACATTTCGATACTGGATCAAACCCATTAGGTTCTTTA